TGTACTTGATAATTACTCGTTATACCTGCTAGATATTTAAAAATACTAGAATATACTAGAAATACTAGATATCTTTTTGCATATCTATCATATTACTTTTTATATTCTACTTCATTTACTTTTATTTTTCTCCTTATTTATATAGTTTATTTTTCACTTTAACAATATAATATAATTTCTTGAAATTTTTATTATATAAGATCTTTAAGATTTTTACTTTTTCTTTAATGTCAAATAAAAAACAAGAAGCATATAAAATATTTCAAAAACTTATTTCTGATTCTGTTAAAAAAAAAAAAGTCAAGTACTTTGAAGTTCTCTAAAAAGCCAAAGAATACTCAAGGAACTCTAGAGCCAGCTAATAAATAAAAATTCTTAACTTATATCAAAATAGAAACAGAAATATCTTGGAAGTAATTAAAATTTCCTGGACATATTTTCAAAATTTTTTTTGATATACTAGTATGAAAAATGTCTAAAAAAACTTCAGATATGGGTAATTATTTTCGAAGGTGGACCAGAAATTTTTTGGTGATCCTAAAATTTATATTATATATATATTGTTTAAAAGTTGGGTCCGAAAAAATCATATCTAGCATTTTCGTTGCCTTCAAAAATAATTACCCATATTTTAAAAAAACGATTTTAAACCATTTTCATATTTAAGAACCAAAAAATTTTTTGAACAAATTGATTGGTATTAAAACAAGAAACTTTTCTGATTTGTTTAAGTTACAATTTAAATTTTAAAAAATCAAAAAATGAAGTGAATTGCTTCTAGAAAAGTAATACTAAAATGAATAAGTAAATTAGTTTAAATATGTATACAGTATATACTAGTTCCGGTGCCAAAAGTTTAGAAAGCGATTGCTTTTCACTATATACCAAGATAGTTTAACATTTTTTATGTTTATTGTCGTTAAAAAGTAATTGTGTGAATAATTGGATTGACTGACTGTTTGAATAATTAAATACAGGAGGCGGATAGACGGACTTTCCGAATCGATCCCTTAAAAGTCAGGAAAATATAGACTTGTGATTAATACGTAATACAGTAATTATTACGTAATTGATGTATCATGATTATTCACACAAGGAAGCGTAATCACTTGATTTTCGGAAACATTTAATCTCCTGATAAAGAGATAAATATAGCAACTATGAATAAATCGAACGATTCAAAGTATTTATGGGCAAAATAAATATAAATATGATGCGAATTTTCAATTGCAATATTGCAATTGCTTTTTTTTTTTTAATGCGTTTATCCAATATGAAATCGAAGAGAGGACGAAAGACTTATTCAGTCACAGAAGGATATATTGACCCAACTGGGCAAACACATGTGATGATAGTGCGTCGTTCTCTCTCCTCTCAGAAAAAAAAAACTAACAAATGTGCTAATAAAAACAAAAGCAATTGTTGTAAGAAATGTGAGAATGAATTAGATTTCGTGGATGCACTTGCTGAACGAATCAATGGATTAGAAAGTTTAGTAAGAAGAGTAGCTGATGTTACCAAAAAGAACTGTACTCCGATTACCACGAAACTTTCACAAATGGAAACTGATGACCTTCTTTTTTTCTCAAATAACCTGGAAACGATGTTATCCAGAACACAGGAGTCACAGGTTTTTTTAAGACATCCACAGGCCACGAATCAAGAATGGACATTTAATGCGCAGGCTAAAAGAGATGAAGAAATTTCCGAGCAATATATATCTAATACTACCTTCTTTTGAATTCTTTTTGAACATTTTCTTTTTTTCGTGGGCGACGGATTTTAGCAAATCGATTAAGTCAATCTATTGAATGTTAATTTTTTCATGTTTCAAGATAAGAAATGAGTATAAATGTTAAATAAGAAACCACATTTTCTTGTAATATCCTTCTATGTTAAGTAATGCTAATAAGCTAATAAATTTACTTAAAAATTATTCAACACAACAACCTTTGACTTGAGACACATCTGCCTGCAAATAAAGGTACTGTAATTCAAAACATCGGGTGATCAATCATACATTCTATCGCACAAATATGGTATTATGTAATAGCGAAATTGGAATGCAGTATATACAGTATATTTTTTCCGGAGTTTCACAATATAACGCTTTTGGAATTGTAATAAAAATGTACTGCGTCAAGTTGTAACGGTAATAGTAAAAATCATTTATCCGTGTAAAAACTTTTCGTCATTTCACCTTAATATGGTAATTAGATGCAAGTAGCTGCTATTTCTGTTTGCGAGAATGCTCAAGGAAAATGAACTACAAACAACGAATATAAAAAAAGAAATAAAATATTGGTAGTAAAATAGTTAAAGTATGTTTAAGAATATACAGTATATATAATTATTTATCACAATATACAGTACATGCTTATTACTCCATTACTAACTCATAACGCTGAAGAATAGAAATCTCTATTTTGTTGTAGTTGCATGTATATCAAGGTATATTTAAATGTTATAAACATAATAAAAAATTTATTAGAATCTTGTAGTTAATCTATTGTTATTGTATATAACCTATTTCAAATTATATTTGATCATTAATATTATACGTTTGATTATCCGTACTGAATAAAAATAATCCATTTGTCATTGCAAATATATTCTATCGTTTTAATAAGAACTGATAATACAAATTTGTTTATAGCAAAATTTTTTAAATTTATTGTTTTGACAAATGTAAATAATAATAATAAATTTTTTTAGTGATCAAAGAATGCTTGCAAACTTGAGATTGTTGATATGCAGAAATAGTATTGATTATGTTTCCTGTATAAAAATACATTATACGTAAATGTTTTTACGGTATACGCCTTTTCTAATCAAAGGAAGAAATATAAGTTGTATAAATAATTGTACAATTGACAAATAAATTGAATATTATTTTCAATTCAACTCATTTTCCAAGTTGAAAATTGTTAGACAAAAACAGATAAATCACGTGTCCTAATGTATGTATCAGCAACATTATCAACACGGCTAAAGCAGATATCTTTCGTATTACCGAAACGACGAAAATTTGCTCAATAAAAATGGTTTTCTTAATAGAATAACGAATAATAATATTCGTATTAAAGAAAAGATTATATCAGTCAGGGAAAACATTGTGGAAAATGCGTGATGTGCATGCATTCAGGATGAGTAATATTTAATGTACTGCATGATGCCCTTGATGTAATAAGAAATGAAGTCTCCTCTTTTACTAAAACAATATCCATTCGTCTTGTTTATCTTTTTAATGCTTGTTTCATAAAAATATTGATTCAATTAATGTTCTTGTATCATAAATGCTATTCGTATGTGCGACCAAAACACAATGTAAGAGCTTGATGCTAAACTTAAAAATCAAAACTTTAGAATAATGTCACGATTTATAGATCTATAGAATTTTTATGTCTAAATACTTACTACGGAACCACATGTGACTCCAAGTGTTTGTTGATCTTTTGTTAACTATAGCATATTTTTTTAAAAAAATATACGCTAGTTAAAACTTTCGGTATTACAAAATAACCTTTACCAATTTCAAATGTTATCTAAACATGAATCCTTTGTGAAAATAAGGATGTCATACACATGCGATAGTTCATAAATATCAAGTATTCACTTCTGATTCAAGACAAAGAAAATAAACGCAAAATGGTTTTCAATGAACACCTCAGGAAAATCGCGTTAGCATATTATTGTATAATTAACATGTGATCCAAACAACCAAACTCAATGACGTCTGTAAGTAATGAATCGTGGTTATTATAGGGATCTATGAAAATAGGGAGTTCATTGACAACACTCATGCAATAAAACTCCTTGTAGACTAATCGAAATTCCAATGATTCTATCTAATCGTTTCTTTATTAAATTGTTTAATGATATCGTTTAATACAGTATTTACGGAAAAGAACTTCCGTCAGTGTATTTGCTAGTAGTTTATTGGAGATTGAAAAGTCATTACGTAGTATCAAAAGAAGTTCATAAATTATTACACAAGTGTAGCGTTTACTAAGTAAAGATGCACGATATCATACTTGAAAAGTTTTAAGGAGTGCTTGACTTTGTTCACAGGAAAAAAAGGCAAATCCACACATGAATAGGGATAAATGTAAGTCTTTATTGCTCTTGTAGAAAAAGTTCACCTAAAGTTCATGTGTTCTTTTTAAGTCAATTATTATTAATACTGTATTCATATGCCAAGGAAAAAGACTCCGTAACTAATCCTATTTAAGCAAGTATAATAATTAGAATCACAATGAAACGAATGCGGATATTGATCACACAATAATACAAATACGGCTATGAATTTGTGTATCAAACCGAATTTTTTTTCCGTTCGTTACAGTATTAACGAATTAACAAAGGCCAAATTTCAAAGTCCTAAATTTTTGTAATAGCATAAAAACAAAGTTTTTTTTTTTTAAAAAATATTTAATAGTTGAAGATTCCGGGACGTTAATCGACCCGGAAAATCAGAGTCGGACCCAAGTCGGTCCCAGTTTATTCCGAAGACCTGACGGTTTATTTTATTCATATGAGTTTTATCTTTACTTACTAGTTAATAAAGAAGCCAAACTATAACAGAAGTCATTAACTTTATATAGTATCAAATAAAAGTTCTTCACCAACATTCATTATATATCAAGCAATTAAATTGGCATGTGAAATCATATTCAATATTTATTCAATCTCAAATTGCAACACTTGGGCTAAGGCATCTACTAAAACCTTAACATTCTTCTATAATCTTATCTAGTATTGTTGTAACTAGCAAGTCTGTCACTAAAATGGCTCATTCTTTACATGATGATAATTCAAACACCTGGATTTCAATATAAAACTTTAACTCTAAGGCAGCTACAATTTGATAAACTTTCATACTTACTAATCTCTTTTTGATCATCTTTTTCTCTAGATACATCTCAAAATTACTAGTATCTCTCTTTACCATACAAAATATAACTTAGTTTCTTTTTTCAAATACTTTATTATTGTAGTATGAATTTAATTTATACTTTTAAGAAGTATAAATATTATCATTATATAAAGTATAATAGCATTTATTTAATAATATACAGAAAAAAAAATGTTTTCAAACTTTATAAGCTAAAGCTAATCTTTATAAACTATATAAACTATTCTATTTATATGCCTTGTTAACATATTTCGTTTTATTACATACTATTGCCATATTATTATATTATTCCACTATTGTTTTTCATTATTATACTGTATAATATACATTCTGATTTTTACATTATTTATTCTATTACTTTTATAATATTGAAAGTCATAGTGTAATGCTATAATATATCATTATCCACAGATATAAAAATGAAAAAAAAGTAAAGTCCAAAACAATATAAACCAAAAATCCAATCCAATTTTTATAATATAAACAAATCAACATTTTTCAAAAAAGCAATCTTATAATAAACATTCTAATTCTTATTATTGAAATATTTATTCAAAACGAATTCAATTATTCTTTATCTATTTGTAACTTTATTTCAACTATTAAGATATAATTTCTTTTAATTTTAAGTAGATATTTATATTTATTTAATATTATTAATAGTTATACTGTTATAGGGAAAAGGGTTGATTTCTACATGATCCTATATTAGATATCATGATAATGAAAAACATGTATAAATGTACTTAGCATTCATTAAATAAAGGCAGCAAGTGTACTAATTTAACGATTGAAACCTTTATCTGTGTGATAAACCTCTGTGTGTTCTATTTTCCAGTGTTGTAATTTTGCTTCGCCGTGATCATGTGACCCACGGACGAAGATCGGTCAAATCCAATAGCCTCTTTTGCCTACAAGACAAGAAGAAGCAAGTGTTAGTGACGACACAAACCATATAGCTAAATAGTGCAAAATGGGCCTACTTAGCTGTTGTGTGACGTGCCGCGACCAGACCTGGGTGCAAGCGACTGACTCGCCGTTTCCCACAATTACATTTTTGGTGGTGACTGTGAGATACGACATACCGGCGAAGCCCTTACCCCCCCCCCCCCGCGATTTTTTATAAACCGTACCCAAAATAATAAAAATTTTTTTAATAAAAAAAAATAAAAAAAAATTAATATAAACAAATAAATAATAATAATAATTACCATTTGGAAAAAAAATAAATTAGACGTCCATACCGACGAAAATTCTCGGAAATCAAGCAACAATACTCCACCCGAAATAGTTTACTCAGCATGGATGTACGATTACCTTTTGTCAGATTATGTGTTCCAAGATTGAAAATCGTTTATTGGTTAATATTTAAGACTTATATAAAGAGATCGGGTTATCTCTCATTGAAACTTGCGAATATTTCGCTTTGTAAATTTCAAATAAAAAGAAACATAAGACTTTATTATGTTAGAAAACCTCAATTATCAATCAGGTTATAAACCTTCGTTTCCCCCCTCAATAACCACTAATGAAATAGTTAAAACGCACTTAAAAAAAGGTCTCGGAAACACCAATAGAACATTAAACGCCTTTCTTATTTATAGAATCGCGTATAATCGAGAAGCTTCAGAACATAATCTCGGAAATATTTCAAAGAGGGCAAGTTGTTCGTGGAAAAATGAACCAGATCATGTGAAAAGTTTTTACAGGGAACTGGCAGAAGATGTCAAGACCTGTTTTAGAAAGAAGGTGCCAATTTGTTTTGTTAACCATCAAAGTTTATCGGCTGTTCCTCCTCAGAATTCTCTTCCAACAAGTATGGACACGTCAGTAAATTCCTTTACGAAAATTCTTAAAGAAAGTTTGGAAATGACTGAGGATACATTTCCTAAACTTTTCCCTATTGACGGTTCCTTTATTATTCAAGAAAGTATGGTCATGATTGATAATATATTTCCTGAACTTCTTCCTACCGACAATTCCTTTATACCTCAAGAAATTATGGATGTGACTGACTCCTTTATGCCTCAAGAAGTTATGGACGTAACAGATGATGCATTCCCTAAACTTTTCCCTACTGACGATTCCTTTAATGAGACTCTCAAAGAAATTACAAACATGGATGATAATGTATTCTTAAAATCCCTCCCCGACGACTTGGCGTTAACTTATAAGGAGATCATTAATTCTCTACCAAATGAGTTATATTTACGAAAATAATGTCAATTACGGCTTCACAACAATTCGGTTTCTTTTTTAAGTTACATTAGAACTATGTATTTTAATATTATATACATATATATCATTGGAAGAATAAACTTTCTTGCTTTTACTTCGAACAAACTTGTGATCGTTGCACGTGACATTTAGTCACGCAACAATAGTTTGCAATATTTGTTATTTTAGAACATTGTAACTTATAACGAAAGATATTTACTAATAAAAAAAGAGATATATAGTAATATTCTATTATATATATCACATGCAACATCATTTATAGTTATTTCAATCAAATAGAACTCTCTTTTACTTTTTGTATATGAATTTTATTGAATGGTTACTATTTAAATGGGTAATTATTTTCGAAGGCAAACCAGAAATTTTCTGGCGTGATCCTAAAATTTATACTACATATGTATTGTTTAAAAGTTGGGTCCGAAAAAAATCATATCTAGCATTTTTATCGCCTTCAAAAATAATTATCCAAATATCAATTGTTTATTGTCCTGTCCGCACGCGTAATTTTTTTTTTAACACAAATTTTATACTGCGTCAAACCAGACACGTCTTATCTGTTCGCACGCGTAATTTTTTATTGTCCGAAGCGTAGCATAAGACTACCATTTTACACTAAACCTGACATGTCTTGTCTGTCCACACGCAATCACTTAGAAAAGTGTAAATTAAAGTTCTTAATCTGATAATGATAATGATAATATAGTTACTATTTGCGATACAGATATACTAATACAAAAAAACAAAAATATGCATGAAAACCTACAGTTTATAAGGTCGATAATTGATAATATAGTTAGTCCACTTTTATTTCGAATTTTTTAACAAATATACAAATGAAAATATGTAAGTGATAACTTATTACACAGTATTACAGTACTCGGTCGATAAAAAGATCGTGACAATTTATTAAGATTGCATTTATGAAAATGATCATTTGTCACTATCAAAAAAATTGATATAATTTAATCCTTCGCTTCGGACACATTTTAAAAATATTCAAAATAATAATAATTTCATTAAAATAAAAAATCATTTAACAAATATTAATTATTTTTATCAAATCTTGAAATTATATATACTATATTATACATCTATTAAATTAATATATTTCTGTTAATTTAATTTAATATATATACAATTATATTTATATAAAGTTTTTTAGATTTGAAATCATATTATTGTACTGTATTAATACTAGTTGTTTTGAAGTTTTCTAATTTCTTTTTACTAATTTTTAATATTGACAAAACTTTAAAAAAATAGTTTATTATTTTATTTACACAGCTATTTGCACTCATAAAAAAATATTGTCACCTTTTATAAATAAATTAATTTTAAAACAAAATAATATTTATTTTGTTGGACCTGTAAATTAATAGCACAGTGGATAGTGCTTTCAGATCTCCAAACACATGTTTCTAGTTTAATATTCAAAAGAGACAAGTGTACATTTATCTTCATGTATAGATTTACTGGATATCCTGCATATATTATACCTAATTATTCTTAATCACATCCAAATTCAGCTAGGTTGTATAAAGATAAAATCTCTAATCTTTCCAATAATTGTAAGTTAAAAATAAGTTTAAGCAAAAAAAATTGTATAAAAAAAAACTTTTGATCTAATTTTGATATAAGTTCACTAATCTCAATCAAAATTAATAATAGTAGATTCTATTATATAACTTAAAGATATTGATTTTAAATTGATCTATTCTATATTAATACTTTGAAATTTATTTCAATTATAGCAATCTATAAATCTTAAATATATAATTAAAGAACAAAACTTTAATTACAAATAGTGACAATCTAAATAAAAATGATCAAGCCAAATAAATTTAATAAAAGTCAATATAAGATTAAATCAGAATTCAAGCAAAAATACCATATTATAGAAAATAAGAACAAATTATATTATATTATACTAGTGATACATTTTAAGAACTAGTAATAATAAATAACTAAAATAACTGGAATTAATTTTATAATAATATTCCATACAGCTCTCTTTTATAACTAAGAATGGATCCCTAAATTATTTAGCATATAAAATTTTGCAGATTAATTATGTTTCTTTTGAAGGGACATAATTATTTATTCATTATTTTAATAGGAACATAA